CTGCGGACCGCGGAGGCTCGGGCGAGGACCCCTCGGGGGCCACCAGAGGCCTGGGGAGGACGAGGTCCTCTAACCCACCTGGCACGCGGGTGGAGTCTGTGACTCGGAAGTCTCGCCCAGAGGCAAAGGTAGGGCAGGGAGGCCAGCGCTGGGCACCCGACTTCCCCAGGGTGAGGGTGCTGCGGCCTCGACTCCTGGATCCTTGGGGGAGGAGGGGGCTGGGGGCCTGGACTCCTGGGCCTCCCACTGGGCTGTGGAAATGCAAGTTCCTGGCATGAAGCAGCTTTATTCTAGGCAGAGGTAAAAGGCAGCCCCAACAATTCACCCACTGGTACCCACAAAACAGTCCCAGCTCCTGCTGGGTCCCTCTCCATGGCCTTGGCCTGTTCCCCAGCAGGTGTGTCCTCACCGATTTCCAGTCCCTCCCGATTCAGCACTGGGCCCTGGATGGGGCTCTCTCCTCTCCCCAGCCAAGCTCAGTTTATCCTCAGCTCCTGAGCACAGTGGGTGCAGAAGTTTCCCCTTTGTCTCAGGGACTCCCCATCTTCACCCCACACAATTCCAGCCTGGGAGCCACTCAGCCAGGCCTTTCCTCAGAGAAGTTCTGATCCAGCCAGAAAAGGATGTGTGCTGTTCTAGCTCCCAGCCAGAGGAGACTTTCTGCCCATTTTCTAGGCTGTGACACTGAGGTCTAGAGTGGGCACTGGGGCTTGCCCACGGTCTAGAACAAGTGAAAAAAACAAAAACAAAAATAAAACCCCTTTCCGCTTCCCAGACGCTGAGGCCAGAAGCCTTGTCCAAGGCATGATAGCAAGGCTAGGGGCTTCAAGTGACAGTTGTCCAAATATCCTGAGACAGGCCAGTCCCATTTGGCTTTGGCTTCTGTCAGGGCCACCCCTGGATTCCTGGCTGGGCGGCCCGGTCTGGCTGCCGAACGCCTCTGGGTTCTGGGAGTTTGCATGCAGCATCTTTACCAAGCCTCCTTTGGGTCGGGGACAGGTAGCGGAGGCGGCGGGCAGGGATGGGGGACAGGGTGCTGCCCCAGGGCTGGGACCAGGCCAACGGACGGGAGTCTGCCTCACCCCAGGGAGCCCCTCCAGTGCCCCGCTGCCTCATCAGGGCCTTGGCTGGGGTGTCCTTGGAGCCCCGGGACTTCTTGAGCTGCAGAGGGAAAGAGAGGGAGGTGAGAGGAGGCTCTTGGGGGCCCAGAGCTGGAGTAGAAAGAGGAGGGTGAACAAGGATGGAGAAGGTGGTTAGGGAGAAGGGAGAGAAGGAAGGTAAGACAGGAAGGCGAGAGATGACACAGGAGGGAGGTGAGGGAGAACGAAGAGTGGGGTGAACTCCACGAGGAGGCGAGAAGACCCCTGAGTCTCCAGAGCCAGGAAGGAAGTGAGCAGGAAGGCTGGGGACCCCCAGACCTACAGAGGGGGCAAGGAGCTGTGTCCCCCTGGGCATGTTTGCAGCTGGGAAGGAACAGGAAGCAGCTGGCAGCTGTGTGGGGGGAGCAAATATTTGCCAAGGGAGGTGATGCTGGGTGAGGGCGGCTCAGGATCAGGTAGAGGTAAGGACCTTGCCCCTGCCCCTCCCTTGGCGGACTGAGGGAAGCGATTCCTGGGACATTTCTCGCTCAACCTCGGAAGAGGCCTTGAGCTCCCAGGTAGATGAGGAAACAGACTCAGAGGGCACAGCTCGCTAAGAGACTGACCACAAGTCTGCCTGCATCCAGGGAGGATCCACTGGTTTCTCCACAGCCTGCTTTACTGCTGGGGATACTGATGCCCTGCCCAGGGTCCCCTAAAGAATTGGGGCAGGCTGTTAGAACCCCAGTGTCTAAGCAGCTGAGCTCCCCTAATTCCCTCCCCAACACCCCAGGACACTCAAATCCAGGAAGCCAACAAGCAGAGCATTTAAAAGCCCTGCCTGAGAGGCAACCAGGGCTGAGTTCTGATTCCTCCCTGATGCCTCAGTTTCCCCATCAGTGAAAGGAGTGGGTGGAGAGCTGTAATCACACCCACCTCGTAGGGTTGTGGCAAAGGTGAAATTTAACCACAGTGAAAGCACTTGGCCTGGAGCCTGGCACACGTCTAGGAGCCCACAAAAGATCGTTGCTTTGACCTTGAGCAAGTTCGGCTCAACCTCTCCCAGCCTCTGCTTTCCCAGCCATAAAACTGAGCATGAACATTGCCTCACTGACCTGGGATAAGGATGTCATGAAGGCAAAATAAATTCCATTTGGGGGGAATTTATAATGATGATGATTCTAGTTCGTTCCACCCTTACTGACTCCTCCTCCCAAGCAAACTGAGGATGGGGACAGCCACTCAGCCCACATCCTTGATGAGAACACTGAGGTTCAGAGAGGGCAAGTCTCCACCCTTCACCCACCCTGGGCTCTCAGAGTTGGAGAATCATGCCAGGTTTCATGTCCAGGGCTCATGAGGTCTCTGCCCCTGCCACCCAGGGCTCCCCTGCCCAGCACACAGTATGGGTACAGGAAGCGGACGATGCAGTTATGAACAGAAGTGAGCAGTTTTGCTTTTCCCTGCCCCCACACAGGGCCAGGCACGTGGCAGGCCCTCAGATGCCTCCATCCTCTCCCAGCTATTCTCTCTCAGACCAGCCACCAGGTCTCACCTCATTGTCACCGTCACTGGAGCCTGACAGCTCGGACAGGCGGCTCAGGTCCCATAGAGAGCGGCTGGGCCGAGCCGGGGGGCCACTGGGGGTCCGGGTGCGCTGTACGCTCCTCAGGATGTCGCTGAGAGCTGGCCCTGGCATGGCTGGGGTCTCCTGCCAGTCCTCCTTGAAGATCCGGCAGGCGGCCAGGCGCTGGGCCAGCGAGCCATCAGGTAGTGGTGGCGGCAATGCGGGGGCCATGGAGCGGCGGTGGGCCACACGGTGCGGGCTGTGCGCCAGCTGCAGCTCCCCCGGGGCTCTGACAAAGGGTCCTGGGGTGGGCGCGGGCGGGAGTGGCCAGGAGGCTGCATACAGTGTCCGGAACTCACGGCTGAAGTCATCGGCAATCTCACCGGTCAGCAGAGTCACCAGGCCCCGGTGCAGGCGTGAGTCACTCCATGTGAAGCTGAGGGGCACAGATTAAGGGGTCAGGATCTCCAAGTGGTCCCAGAGGCCTGACCCAGCCCCCATCACCTCCAAGTGGTCCCAGGGCAGGCTGTGTGACCTCAGGTAAGTCCTGCCACCTCTCCAGCCTCAACATGCCCCTCTGTAGAATGGGAACAATGAAGTACCTACCCCAGAGGGTTGATGTGAGGACATGAGTTAAGGTACTTAAATTATCATCTGGAATCAGACTCGAGTTTAAACCTGGGCTCAGCCCCATCCCCACCGAGAGATGCCTCTGTTTCCCTCTCTGGAAAGAGACAGGATTTCAACACTCTCAGGGACTGTTTTAAGACTTGGCTGCTTCCTATAATGACAGCCATTTATTAAGTACTTGCCATGTGCCAGGCTCTGGGTGCACCTGCTCCCTGCCTCAGTTTGCTCATCTGTAATATGGAGCTAAAACATAGGAAGATTAGAATGAGAGGACATGGGGTCGAGCACAGTGCCCAGTAGGTGCCCAGCACCAACAACCTGTGAGCTGTGGTCAGCTGCACCCTTAATATTCCTGTGATCACAGAGGCTGTGATTTAAAGTCCCTAGCACAGGTCTTGGCCCACGGCTGGTGCTCGGTAAATGCCCTCTTTGGAATTAAGTGAACCTGGGCTCTAGTCCTGGCTCTGGGGACCTTGGACATGCCACTTTCCCTTCCTGAGCTTCGGTCTGCCCATCTGAAAAAACCCTGCTCACCCTGGGCTGTGTATCTTGTGCCTTAGCAGCTACAGCACCCAGCAGAGAGGACAAGTGCAGCCGGGATGGTGAAGGTGGGTTTGAGCATCCTTACCTTGGCGGGGTGGCGGTGTCTTCGCTCCCTCCCAGCCTGCCCTGAAGATTGTGACACTCCTCCCCCACCTATGACCTCATCCCCAGAGCGGCCAGTGGGAACCCTAGAGGGTCTGTGAGGTCACCCCATTCCGCTCCACAAAGACTCCTGACGGACCACAGCCACTGGCTCGTCTCTGTCCTGGGGGAGTTTCTGAGACCCGAGGACTTGAGAGCCGTGGTCACGACGGCGCTCCTGAGAGGGACACGGAGCATTGGGAACCGAGGACACGCCGGGTGCTGACCCTGGGAGACCAGAACCAGGGGCAGAAGTCTCGTGGGCGTGAGGAGTGTCATTCAGCAGTTCCGGGAGGTCCAGGAAGCCCACGGCCTGGCTTGGGCACCGTCACCGCCACCAGGCCACCATGGTCCTTGGCTGGCTGCTGCTTCTGGTGACCGCTCTGCCCCCAGGCACGACGGGCGCCAAGGACTGCGTCTTCTGTGAGCTGACCGACTCCTTGAGCTGCCCCGGTACCCACATGCGCTGTGACGATGACGAGGACTGCTTCACGGGCCGTGGGGTGGCGCAGGGTGCCGGCCCCATCATCAACAAAGGCTGCACGCGGGCCACTTTGTGCGGCCGCGAGGAGCCCGTCAGCTACATGGGCATCACCTACAGCCTTGTCACCAACTGCTGCACCGGCCACCTGTGCAATGGGGCCCCCAACCCCACAGGCAGCTGGATGGCGGGGGCCACCACTGGCCTGGTGCTGGGCATGCTGCTGCTGCTCCAACATTTGCTGTGACCTACCTGGAAGGCAGGGCTCAAGACTGGTCTCCCGGCTCCACCGCTCCCCGTGCCCCCTGCCTCCACCCTCTTCCCCCATTAAATGGCCAGAGGCCCTGGACAACCTCTTGTGGCCCTGGCCTCATCCATTCTAGGGTTGTCCACCAGAGCCCAGTGCTTGGCAAAGCATCCTCTGGCCTGATTTAGTGGTGGGGACCCGTGCCCAGTGGGTTCGGCTGGACCCACTGGGCACGGGTCCCCACCACTAAATTTTGTTGGTATTTTGTTGGTTCTAAGATGCGTATCTTTTCACATTTTCAACAGGAAGCTTCCTTGCTTTAGTGGCACCTTAGAGTTGATGAAATATGGTTAAAAAAAGTAATAATAATAATAAACGACAGCTGACATTCATGGAGCACTTCTTATGTTATATGCCAGGCACCGGTATCTCATTGAATCTCCGAGTGAAGCTGGGATGGTAGGTTCTCTTCAAAACCTCCCAGTCTGGATGCTGGTAGCTCTCCAAGTGTGGTCCCCGGACCAGCAGTGGCAGGATCAATGGAGAACTTGCCAGAAATGCCAATTCTTGGGCCTCATCCTAGGCCGGCTGAAGAGGGGTAGGGCCCAGAAATCGGGGTTTTAACAAGTCATCCAGGTGATTCTGAAGCCCAAATCTAGAGCAGTGGTCATCAATTGGGCACTTCTGCCCCTCAGGGGGCAGCTGCAATGTCTGGAGACACTAGGTTGTCATAACTGGGGAAGGGGAAAGCTACTGACATCTCCTGGGTAGAGAGCAGGGTTGCAGGTCAGCCAGGAAAGCCCCCCACAACACAGAATCACCTAGCCCCGAATGTGAGTAGTACCTCTGCTGAGAAACCTTGCCCTAGAGGCACTAACAATATCATCCCACAGTGGCGAGGGGGAAACTGAGGCACAGAGAGGTGAAGCCAGTTGCCCAAAATCACACAGCTAGGAACTGGCAGAGCAAGGATTCAACCCCAAGCCACCCAGCCCTGGACTCCACGTGCCCCACCACATGCTGCTCTGAGGACACTGGAAGTAGCTATTTTCACACTGTCCAGATGGGAAACTGCGGTTTGGGGTGTGAGAGGCACCCGCCCAAGGTCACGAGCTAAGAAGTCATGGAGCCAGGTTCCAGGGACCACAAATAGAGCAGAGGAGGGAGATGAAATGGTCAGAGGGACAGGCCATTTGTACCCTGGCTCTGATTTTTTTTTTTAATAGATGCTCAGAGAGGTGGAGTTACTCACCCAAGGCAGAGCTAGGACTCCAATCCAGGTTCCCCTGGTTCTGAAACTCCTACATCCTAATTGTGGGCCCAGTTTTCCAGATAAGGAACACATGGTCAAAGAGATAAAAGACTTACCCCTAGGCCACTGAGCAGCCCAGCACCCAGCCAGTGCCAGCTTGTTCTGCTCCAGGACACCTACTCTCTGGGGCCGGGTGTTTAGACCCATTTTACAGATGAGGAAAGAGTCTAGAGAAGGGGATGCCACCTGTTGCCTGAACATGTTGAGGGAGAGCTGGGGACAGGAGACCGGTGGCGTGGTCGGGGGGAGCCGCACCTGTAGGATCCTGAGACGACCCTCTCGCTGTCCAGCAGCACAAACTTCTCCTGAACATTGCCGCTCACCTGCCGACCACAGCGGCTCTGGAAACTGCAGCCCCGTACGACTCGGATGTCCAGATTCTGGGGTGGGGAAGGCACACCCCCTGCTCAGGCCGACCCCACAAAGCCCTGCCCAGTGCCAAGGGCTCAGGACCCCTCCAGGCCTGGAGATCCTGGCCTCCACCTGGGTGGCCCATGACTCTCTGGAAGGGTCTGTTCAAGCTTCCCCAGAGCCTCAGGGTATCTTGGAGATACCCCTAACTCAGAGGGACCGCATGGGGAGATCCCCCCCGCTCCCTATGCCATGGGCATCAGCTCTCAAGGGACCCTCAGCTGGCATCCACCTCGATGACCCAGGACCCCATGGAAGGGTCTGGCCCAGCTGCCCCCAGTGCTCCCAGACACAGGCCAGGCCCCTACCTCAGTGGCCCAGGGGTTCACCTCCATCTGCTGGGCCAGTGTCAGGAAGGCAGGCAGCTGCTGACGGTCCAAGAGCAGGTAGACGGGCACCCGGCGGCGTGTGGCTGCATCCACCAGGTCCGAAAACAGGTCTGGGTCAGTGAAGATGTCCATGACTACAGCCACCAGCTGGGGGGTGGGGAAGAGGGGCTGTGGTGGAGCCTGGGGCCCAGGGGACATTCTGAGGGTGGGGCTCTGGGGATGAGGTGCTCTGGGGGGCTAGGGGTTTAAGGGCCCAGGCTCTCTGTGGGATGTTTAGGGGGGCTGAGGGGGAGACCCCCAGACACGCACTGCTGTTCATGCAGCGCCTATGTGTGAATGAGAAGAAAACAGCCAGCCCTTCCTTGAGATCCTGGCCTCTAACTGCTGGAAAGCTGTCATCACAAATCACACATCTGCAATGGTGAATGGTGTCCCCTGAGTTGTGACACTACAGGGCAGCCCTGCTCCAGGGGTCAGGGGCTGGAGGCCCCCACAGGGCACTGTGGGCAGCTGCACACTTGGTCCTCAGGAACACCCAGCATGCCGGGTGGGAAGGAATTAAGTGCCAGGCCACCAAGGAGAGCTCTGTGAACCAGAGGATGCTGAGGGCTTAGATCTTATGCGCAGAAAAAGGTAGTGGAGATAAACCCCCACTCACTGGCCAGAAGGCCTTGGTTCAAATCCCTACTCAGCCACTTACAGGCAAAAGACAACTTCCTACGTCTGTTTCCCCATCTCCTCAATGGGTACATTAAGTCTCAACCTAATGGTGCCCTCCTGAGGATTATGGAGGTTAAACCATATAAAGCACTTAGCGTGGGAGCAGAAAAAGATAAACTGCTAAATAACGAATAGCCTGGGAGTGGGGAGAATATAGCTTAGTGGTAGAGTGTGTGCTTAGCATGCCTGAGGTCCTGTGTTCAATCCCCAGTACCTCCACTAAATAAACAAATAAATAAAGTGAACCCAATTACCTCCCCCACACACAAAATCTTTTAAAAAGGCTGGTAGAGTGCGTGCTTAGCGTGCACAAGGTCCTGGGTTCAATCCCCAGTACCTCCGTTAAAAATTAAGAAATAAAAATAAAGAACAGGCTAAGGGGATGCAGGGGAGATGTCTGGACCCTCACTGGAAGGAGGCAGGGTAGGGTAGATGGCCAAGATCAGGGTGGGTCATATTTAGATCCAAGGGGCATCGATGCCTAAGGCACCCAGGTCTTGGGGAGAAGGTGGAATATGCTAGAATACACCACATCTAAGAGGGTGAGGATGAGATCCCGGAAGTGTGGATGCCCAGGTCTTAGGGGCTGGGAGGTGTGGACTTGCAAGTTCCAGGAGGGCCTGCCTCATGCCAGGGGACGTGCTCTCACTCACAGGTGAGGATGACGGGGTCTGGGGAAGGGACACCAGGCCCCCGAGGCCCCCACCTTGTGGGCGGCCTGGATTTCCTGGCGCACCAGCTCCTTGAGGGATGGCTGGCCCTCACCAGGCGGCTGAGTGTACAGCTGTGCCCGGGTGATACCCTTCCAGGCCGAGTCCTCCGGCCAGCCCAGCCGCAGCATGGGCACTGGCTCCTCCGACTGTCCAGGCCAGTAGGTCAGGCTGCCCAAGTCCCCGTCAGCAGCGGTGGCTCCATCAGCTGCCCTGCCAGACTCCTGCTTGGCTGCTGTCCAGTCCTCGGCTGCCGCCTCCAGGCCCCGGACCTCATCTCCACTCAGGAAGTGCCGCAGCCCCTCGCGCTGTAGGCAGGCCTCAAACGCGTCTGCGCCCTTGCTCAGCAGAGCCTCCAGCGCCAGCCGCTGGCCCTCGGAGTACAGGCAGCTGGGGCTGGCCTCAGTGAGGGGCAGCCCCCCAGCGCCCGACTCCGTTCCTTCCAGTGCTGCCAGCTGGGAGGCCGCCATCGGACCACTCAGGTGAGAGGACGGTGAAGCTGGGTATCCAAGGGCTTGGCTGTCTCTGATTACTTATCATATGGGGTTCAGACCAACAGACCACCAGCCATCTGAGCGTCCTGCCAGCCTCTAAGGGTCAGGCTGACCACCTGACACCGTCTCCAACTAGCTGCCCATCTCTGCTACACGACACGACCTCCACCTCTAGCCCACTGGCTCTACAGTGCCCCAACTGACCCTGCAGCTGGCTCAGGCTGACCCCACCGCCATCTCCAGGTCACAGGCTGTCTGCTCGTCTCTGTCCCTGGTTAAAGGCAGGGCGGGCTGCCTGTTTGCCCCCGGCCAACGGCACATCAGACTAACCCTCTCTGGTTGTTTCTTCGTCTAGAAGACACTAATTGCTTCCAACTGACAAGCTCAATACCTGACTGCTGGGAGCAGCTCCCAGCTGGCTCCGTTCAAATCTGTTTCTCCCGACGACCGACCTGGCTCACCAGCTCTCACTGGCTGACCATCCTGGAAGCCCTCTCTGGGTCTCCTCTCAGCCGTAGAAGAACACACTCCAGCCCTGTCTTGGCATCACCCCTCCCCAGCTGGGGAACTAGGTCAGTCTCCTCTGGGTTGAGGACTCTGCTCCCCAGACCTTCACACCCACTCGGGCTGCCCCAGTGGTGGATGTCCTCGGCGGGGGTTTCATTACTATGGAACCAGCCCATCTACATTGAGGACACGACTAACTAGCCACTGTTCCTCAGGCTACTGCCCCTGCCTGTCTCCCGGGCCACCAGTCGTCTCCGTCTGTCCTACAGTCGGGACTGCTACCTTAATCCCATTCTCTCCTGCTATCAGACCACCCATTTATTCCTGGCCAAGGACCACTCCACATCCCTTCTGGTCCCCTTTCAAGCTCCTGACCCAACCTCTGGTCTGAGGACCTCGTACCCCTGCAAACCAGCAGCGCCTCCTTCCAACCCCAGAACCCAGGGAGCTCCTTTCCTCCAGACCAGTGGCCAACCCTGCAAAGAGAAAGGAGAGGAAAAGCCAGGCCGCCTCCTCTCCCTCCCGGCCCCCTCAGTTTCCCCAGCACATCCAGGTCTCCATCCCTTTCCCCTCCTCTTGCCTTTTCAGAGTCAGATCAGGCAGCTGGAGATTTCCTGCTTGTGTTTCTGCGGTTCTTCCGGCTGTCCTGCCTTATTCATCAGGTTTCTGCCTGGGATCCGGGAAACCCAGCCCCTTGTGCAAACACAGGGGGAGGGCCGACCCAAGTCCCTGGAGGTCTGGGGAGCCAGACTAGTGTAAGGGAAGGTCCCAGCCCCAGGAACACATTCAACAGGTTGCTCACCTGGGGGACAGCAGCTCGCCACTCCAGCTTCGGGGTAGGGGAGGACCTTGCCTGTTCCCACGCACACCCTCCCACAGGGGCCTACCCCATCTATACTTCCCTGTCCACGCCCCACCCAACCCCATCCGGGAGGACAGCAAGGGTGCTTTAAGAGTCGGCATGACTAATCCTGAAAGGAGGCAGGTGCACTAACACCTGGCTCTTGGGTGGGGATTTGGCCTTATGGGGGGAGGAGCTGCGAGGTCCCAACAGGTGCAGCTGCAGCTAGGTCCAGACACACTGACTCTGCCAGAGGGTGCCGGCAGGCTTGGTGTGGGAAACCGGCGGGCAGGCGCCTGGGATCCACTGACTCGGCCCCAGCACCGCTGAAGGGGCTCCATCCCTGAGGCTGGTCTCCATCAATATAGGTGCGGCATCCAATTGCCCAAACACAGACTTTTTCACTAGCAGGCTCCAATCCTTTCTCTCGCCCTGGCCCCAACCTTCCCCAAGAACACACAAAGGGCCATCAGCATCCAAAATCAATTTTTAATAACAAGGCAAGATCTGGGGTTAGTTTTTGTAGCCGCGGCTGGCACGTCGCCCTCTGGCACGCTCAAACTTCCGGCCCTTGGAGCGGACATAGGGTCTGCGGGGAGAGAAGGGATGGTGAGCGTGGGCCCCTGTTACAGATGGAGCCAGGGATGCCCCCTGGCGGCCAGGGCCTGCTTGAGAGCTGGGGGCTCAGAGCAGTGCTGCTTGCTCTAACAGTAGCAGGGGGACACGGGAAGGGGGCCCCACTCAACCCAAGAGTATCAGTGGTGACACCGAGTTGGCTGCTGGAAAAGCCTGGCAGTGCAGGAAGCCAAGATGCCAGGAGTGGCTGCTGCAGCACCTGCACTGGGCCCGGGGCCCCCCAGAAACTCAACAAAATGCAAGCCCCGCCTGAAAGCTGGGGATAGGCCCTGAAGAGCACAGGGAGCTCAGCACCCCCAGGAATACCGCTTCAAGCCGAGTTCCGAAGGAAGAGCGGGTAAGATGGGGTGGGGAGTTCTAGGGAAGCCCGAGGCTGGACAAGTAGGAGAAACAGAAGCAGATGAGAGCACAGCAAGGCCTAGGCCTGCAGGCCGGGGCCCAGGGAAGTCAGGGCTGGGTATACTCACTTGGTGTGGCTATGTGGGGTTCCTGGGGCCTTGCCAAAATGCCTGTACACCTCTCGGCCCTTGCGAGGACCTGGGGAAGGAAGGGGTGGTTCAGGCTGACTTGGGGCAGCAGTGCCCCTGACCTCCCACGCCTAGGAAGGTAAAGAATGCCAGTGGTCACACACCCCCACCAGCCTTGCGCCACTAAGTGTCACTCACCGGAAAGCAGGACAGTGCCGCAGCCCTTGGGCGAGTCCAGGGCCAGCTGGTCGAAGGTGAGGATCTTGCCCCCAGCCTTGAGGATGCGGCTCCGGGCACGGCTGCTAACTCGCAGGGCACATACCTGGGGGACACAGAGGACAGGCATTTTCAGAGTCCCCTAGATGGCAATGCAAGGGCTGCTGCCCAGGCCCAGCAGAGGCGTCCCACTGCTTGCTCGGCCTGATAACCAACCCCACCAACTACTAGAGGGCACTTCCTGAGCTGACAAAAGCTGTTCTTACCACTTTACTTCTACAAACTCCTTTAACACAGCAACAACCCGCAGCTATTACATGGAAGGAAACCGAGGTTTGAAGAGATCCGGGGCTTTGTCCAGAGATGACAAAGTGGCAGAGAAATCTAGCTCTGAACACTGGCTGGCTCAAGAGCCAGCACCATCAACAGGGTCCCAGCAGGGGCTTGCCCAGGGACACCGGCCATCAATATGCTAATGACAACCCCACTTCAATCCAGGCATGATGCCTGCCTGCCCCACAGCAGGACAAGGATGTGAGCCAGGTCTGTAGGACCTCACCTTCAGCCTGTGCTCGTGACCCACTCACCATGCTCCTGAGCCCCCTCCCCACTCACCTTCAGCTTAGGCACCTCCTGGACACGCACATCATCAGTTATGGTCCCCACAACCACAGCTGTTTTGCCTTCCCGACCAGGAAGCTTCATCTTCCGGATCTTGGTGGGGAGGGGAAAGATACGTATTAGGTAAGTCCCTTCTGGTGGTTTAGTCCAATCCCACTGCTCCAGGAATCCCGAGGACCAACAGCTTTGCCTACTGGACTAAACCCACCCATGGCACACCTCTCAAAACTAGCACAAGCCTCAGCCAACATGGAGAACAGTATGGAGGTTCCTTAAAAAACTAAAAATAAGTTACCATATGATCCAGCAATCCCACTCCTGGGTATATATACAAAGAGAACTCTAACTGGAAAAGATACATGCACCCCAATGTTCACAGCAGCACTACTTACAATAGCTAACACACGGAAACAACCTAAATGTCCACCAACAGATGACTGGATAAAGTATGTGTGTGTACATAATATACAGATGCATATACTACTCAACCGTTAAAAAAAAAAAGATGCCATTTGTAGCAACATGCATAGACCTACAGATGATCTTACTAAGTGAAGTCAGTCAGAAAGAGAAAGAAATACCGTATCGCTTATACATAGTATCTAAAATACGACACAAATGAACTTATTTACGAAACAAAAACAGATGTACAGATGCAGAAAACAAACTTATGGTTACCAAAGGAGAAAAGGGATGGGGAGAAATAAATTAGGAGTTTGGAATTAACAGATACAAACTACTGTACATAAAATAGATAAATAAGGGTGGTGTGGTATAGCTCAGTGGTAGAGTGGGTGCTTAGAATGCACAAGGTTGTGGGTTCAACCCCCAATGCCTCTATTTAAAAAAATAATAAATAAACCTAATTACTACCCCCCCCAAAATAAAACAAACAAGGGCCTATTGTATAGCACAAGGAACTATGTTTGATATCCAATAAACAATGGAAAAGAACATGAAAAAAGAATATGTATTTACATGTATAACTGAATCACTGCTACACACCAAAAGCTAACACAATATTGCAAATCACTATACGTCAATTAAAGAACAAACCACAAAACCTAGCACAACCCTAACCTCAGGTCCAGCCTGGGAAAATCTCCAGAGAAGGGAATGCACCTCAGACTGTTAACAGCTCTCCTACAGAAAGCGTTTGACACACAAGACTTGCTCTGTGACATGACATCTCAGAAAGACCTCATAAAGCCATTCTAACACCCCCCCCACCGGGTAACCAATGAGAAGGAAAATGAGGCCAAGCCAGTCCAAAACCCCTGCTATTCACCTACAACCAGAGGATCAGAGCTCTGTGCCCACCACTGGTGGAGGTTAAACCAGGTGATGGCCAGGCTGCTACCACAAAGCTCCAAGCCTGCCCTTCCTCTTGCAGTCCAGTTCCAGACATGATCCAGTTGCCCCCCAGTTTGGCTATGTTCCCAGCTTTGGTCCCTCACCATCCGAGAAAGGGACAGAGGTGGTCGGTTGGTGCGACTCATGAACAACCTCTTCAGCACAACTTGATTGAAGGTGGAGTTCGTTCGTCTGGCCAGAAACCTGTACAACTGGAGGGGAAGAAAAGAGAATGAGAACCCAGGGCAGCCCACTCCCTGCTCCCTCCCAGCCTTCTAACAAAGAGGTAAACAAAGGACTTAGGGCTTTCTCCCAACCCATCAAGCCCAAGGGGGAGAGCTGGCCCAGGCCCTGGCCAGGGACCAAGAAAATCTCCCTCCACACCTGCAAACTGTACACAAACCCAGAAACTAAAAACACTGAAGGAATCTCTGGAAAAGAATCAGACTCCAGCCTGCCCTGCAGGCCCCTGGAAGGAACCAATACAAGCACAGAGACTCTGGAACTTGTAGTTCTGGGGTGGCCTTGCCTGAAAGTCTCGGGCCCCAGCTTCACCTTGACCAACAGCCTTAGGTAGATGTCCTGGCTCTTGGGCTCCTTGCGCCGAACCTTTCGGTCCTTGTTGTGGCGGATGTCAACTCCCTGCAGGGATTAAAGGAAGACCATGAACTCAACTCTGATCTGGCCGATTACTCAGCCCGTAAACCTTCTCAATTATTCCTTACCTTACCTCTAAGAATTAAAGCCTCAGTCTCTGGAGACAATAAATCCCAGTCTACCACAGGGAGACCCCTGGGAAAAATCACTTACAATCCCCTGAGCCTCAAATGACCCCTCTGTAAAACTCTACACGAAAAGCTTTCAGCACACGGCATACAACACCATGAGAGATCTTAACACAGTAGCTAAATTAACTCAAATTTTTGGTTCTTTACAAGTTGTGTTTTTCAAAAACCTCAGTATTATTTCAGCTCCCAAAGCTCGCTCCCACACGTGGAGCATGACCAAAAACATTTCAACCCAGGGCAGATTGTAAAATTATAATGGCAACGCGCTTTTTAAAATTACTGTGTACCAAATCCTACAACGACCTTTCATGCACTATCTCCTTGAATTCAACCACCTTATGAAGTAGTTTCCCAGTTTAGTGATAAAAAACTTGAAAAACCCACGATTTCCACTACACCCCCACTCGCTTTCCTGAAAATGTTTTGTACTGTCATGAGCTGTAAAGAATTACTTAACTATTAATAGCACCCATTTAGCCAGCACTTAACGTGTGCAAGGACCTGTGATGAGCACTTATTTCTTCCCAAACTAAGTTGAGCTAAAATTATCGTGTCCCCAAATGAATAGATGAACAAACTGGGCAGAGGCCGGGAAAGCAAGATGATAAAGTGGGTAGGAGCTTGAGACTCGGAGGCCTGCCGGTCCCCAAAACTCAGGCACCGGACGGTTGACACCCCTAAGAACACAACTTTTCAGGCTGGGGAGTGACAGGTCCAGAAGCAGCACAGGCAACCGTGGCTGTGGGACCAGCTCGGAATCCTGGGTCCGAATCCGGCTCCGCCACTTACTGGCATTGTGACCAATTTGGTCATCTATTAAACGGGAGCCGTAGAGGAGTACAGGAGGGGCGGAAGGTTGATACGACTCCCATCCATGGTCTTCGGGCCCCCCAAATAGCTCCCAACCACAGGAGTCGCCTCATTCAGACACCAGGGAATCCCTGCCTCCCTCTGGAACGTCCCCAGCCCGAGACTGCAGCGGATGGCAGCGGATGGTCGAACCCCAAACGCCGCAAAACGCGCTCACCATGATGGCGCCTACTCCTTAGCCAGATCCGGAAAGAAAGAGACGAGCCCCGGTGGGCGGGGAAAGCCTTCAGTGAGTGGCGCCTACGTGACGTCACATGGGCGCGACGGCACGCTCTACCGCGACTCGTGCCTCTCTATGGTGAATCGGAGGACCGACTAGAGGGGCGATTCCGGAATTGGATGGAGGAACATCTAAAGCTGAACAAACGCCATGCCAAGGAGGGAAGGGCCAGCACTTCGGAAGCCTCTCTGGTCATACCAGTCCTTGTTCTCCATAGTCTTCCGGAAGAAAGGGATCTGGGAGCCAGAGAGATGTCTCGCGGCGCTAGGAAGGCAGGTTGGGCGGTGACGCTCTGGCCCGACGTTGACGGCTTCTCTGTGGCTCCTGGACGACCCAGAGAGGGCTGGCTCAGCTAGTCGGGGCCTTGGGAAATCTCTGATTCCATGCTTTGGGCTTTTCCTTATCAGGCTCACCTCTGCTTTATCTCTTGCTGAGCTTTCCAGGCGCGGCAGCAGCTCAGGAGGTTTCTAACCTGAGCTCTTATTGCTGCAGCCCAGCCTGTGGCATCCTGCATTTCCACCTTTTAGGTTCAGCTTCTCCCTTTGACTCCAGATGGCCCTTCCCTGACCCCTCCTCAGCCTCTGTCACCCGGAGGCTGCTTTTCCCAGCCAGAGAGATTCAGGTGGCCCAGCGGGTTCGGTGAGAGGGATGTGCATTTTACTGGAGCGCAGAGGAGGCAAGCTGAGGCTCCGGGTTTGGAGGACGGGATGGAGAGAGGGGATGAGTAGAAAACTCGAGAATGGTGATGCCATTTGTAACCAAATGCAAATCCTGGCTCTGCTACTTACTCATGCTGTGATATTGGGCAAATCAACCTCTCTGTGATCTTGGGCAAGTCTTGTAACTTCTCTGTGCCTTACTTTCCTTATCTCCAAAAAGGGGATAAGAGGCCTGGCACAAAGAGTGTTTTCTAGTATTATGTAACTTAATTAAAATGCTCAGGACAGTGCTTTTTACAGAATAAGTGCTCAGTTTAAAATTATTGGATGGGACCTTATTGGGTGGGACAAGATGGACTGGTTGGGGCAATGACAAAGCTGACTTGTACACTTTTTTCTCCTTCCTTGTAAAGGCCCTGCCCCTTGGGCCTCCAGCATTTCTCGCTTGACCTCCTGTACTCTGCCCTTGATGTTCCTAGTTACTCACCTCTCCTCCACAGAGCCACAGGCCAAGCCATGAGGCCTAGTTCCTTGCCCAAACCACCCTCCCATGGCCTCTGACCCAGGACCAGAATCTCACTGATGTGGTAACACAGCAGTGGGCTGGGAGATAAATGGACACCTTGAATCCGAGGAGCAGCAGGACCAGGTAAGGGTCCATCTGAAAGTCATGATCACCATACCATGGGGCACAATTTCCTCCTCCTCCTTGTCCCCCTGTTCCTTGGTCTCTGTCTTTCTTTCCCCTGGAGCCCTGAGCTCACACACTGTGTTTTCCTGTCTCTCCATCTTAACTGGGTTTCTGTCCCTCTCTTTCTCTGGGACATTCTTTGGCACATATTATCTGGTGCTGTTGTTACTCTGGGTTGAACACTAGGTACATTGTTTGACAGTAAATGAACCTCTTCCTCCATTTATCTCTAGCAAGCTCAGTCCCTATCTCCTTCAGCATGTGTCTTTCTCTCCACAGTTCTGTCTTTTTCTAGGTCACCTGATATTCTTGCCTTGATTTCTTTCAGTTTCACCATGTCTTTGCTCTCTCTGTCTCTGTCAGCATCTTTGCTTTCAGTCTTTTGGTTTAAGTTCCTTGCAGCCTATGGGCCTTCTACATTCTCTCCCTCCCTCACTCCTGATCTAGAGGTCTCTCTCCTGTGTCTCTGTCTTGCCATGTAATTGGGTCACTCACTGGGCAGTTATTTGTGTCATGCTGCCCCCACTCTGGTTTGGGCCCAAGTACAGTTTATGAATTAATGAGCCTTTCCTCCCTGGTTTTCATTCCAAAAATGTCTGCCCCCATCTCTCTCTGTGTCCGTCATTTTCAGGGTTTTCTTGTGTCCTGACCTTGCATACTCTTAATTCTACTGTCTTTATCCCTGCTTTTCTTTCTATCTGTCTCTCTGACTCTCTGTAACTATCTGAAAAAGAGACAACACTCTTTCCAACTCTCTTATTGCCTCTGACTCTGCTTCTCTTTTACTCTTTTTGCATATCTCTGGATCTTTGTTACCTGTGTTAGAGTCCTCTACCTGCAGCTAAAGATGTCCTTTCCGATATCCCTTATCTTCGTAAAGTCAAAGAATGGGCGGGGCGGGCTCACTTGCCCTTAATAAAAATGGCGACAGGATCGCTGGCTGTACGGCCGTGAAGCCGCCCCTGCTGCGCTTTTGCCCTCACCTAGAATGGCGGCTGATCTCGCGAAGCGCGATACCCCGCCCAGTTCTCTGGCGGCAGGCCCCTGCGCCAAGCTCGCAAGTCGGATGGCCCAGCCCCTGCGCGTCCTTATTGGTGCGGTTCAGGCCGGCTGCGCCACCATTGGCTGAGGGGATGCACACCCTCCCCCCTCCCCTAGGTCTGATGGGGGCGGTTGGTGCTGATTTGAGGGGGCTGCTTGGAGGAGGACCTGGCGTGTGAGAAGGGTCCGGGGGTCGGGGCAGGGACCCGAGTCTGGAGGACTGAGGGACCAAGAGGAACGGATACGCAGGCCCAGGATTGGGGTATCAGGGGTGTGGGATGGAGATGGAGAACCAGAACCAGGACTGAGGGATCCGGTAATGAAAACCCAGGTCTGGAACTGGGTTCTGGAAATGGGGTGGGGATGGAGGCCCGGACCAGTAGAACCGGAGACAGAGACGCAGGCTTAGGATTAGAGGGACCTATGGATGGAGACCCAGGTCCTGGTGCGGGGTACCTGGAGGGTGGGGAGAATGGAGACCAAGCCAGAGACCTGGGGACCTAGGGATGGAGGCTCAGGCCCAGGGCTGAGGGAGATCTAGGGCTCTGTGCCTAAGACTGTTTTGAGGTGGGGGGGGCGGTGCAAGTTTAGGGTGGGGCCTGAGGACCTTCTAAGGGTAGGAGGCAGAGGTAGCTCCTGAGAGTGAGTCCACAGATGGGGGTGTGTCTGGGGCAGTTCTGAGCCTGGGGAAGGCCAGAGGCAGGACTGATAAGTGGCTGGGTGGGTGGGGCAGTGAGGAACAAAGGTGAGCTGGAAGGAGGAGGCAGAAACTGGGCAGAGGGCAGGGGGAAGGGACCTCAGGCCCAGCTCCCACTCTCTCCCTGGAGAGCAGGCGGCCAGACGCCCAGGTCAGTGCTTCAGGCCCAGTTCTTGGCCTCTGTCCCTTGCAGGTGTCTGCATGTGGCTCCTTTACCTCGCTGACCCCTTAGTCCCTCCAAGTCACACCCCTTTCTCAGTCTCTCCAGCTACTACATCCCTTACCTCCTGCCTTTCCTGTCTGCTCTTTCCCTCCTTTCTAACTCTGTTGTCTTTCTGACCCTCAGAGGGCCCCCTAGAGCCCCTAAACTCTCACTCAGCTCTCTAAGTATCTTTCATCGTACTAGGTTTCATCTCACTGAAGCTATCTGTCTCCTCTCAGTGTTTTCCTGGCTCTCAGACCTTACCCCTCTTTTTCTCTGTGTCTGAGTGTCTCTTGTTACTTTATCTAGTGATGACTCTGTGGGTATGTGTTGTGTTTTTCTCTGTCTTTGCATGTCTATTCATGTATCTCCACCATCCTGATCTCTTTCCTCTGCATAATTTTTCCCTGAAGCCTTTATCACCCAACATGATTCTTATTTGATTTATCTTGCTTTCCTGTCTTCTGATTAGAATATAAACTCCACGAAGGCAGGGATTTTTGTCTGTTTCATTCATTGCTGTGTTTGCTGGGCCCTGCTCTATGATTGGCACAGAGAGAGTACTGAATAATTATTTGGGAAATGAATGAATGTTTGCATGCCTGGGTGTGTACCCTCCAGGATATGGGCCTCCTGTCCAACTGACCTCTGCCCTGGCTCCTCAGAGCCTTCCCACATTTGTCAGGTCCTGTCTCTGGTGCGCCATCTTGCCTGTCAGCACTCTTGGTTGTCTCCTCCTATCCACAGGCCCTGCCCCTGCTTCCCTCTGCCCACTGTGGGGGTCCTGGACTCTGACTCCCACCCTCCTTCCTCCCCACAGAGGCCAGACCAGGAGCTGACCTGGAGCTGGGGACACAGGCCTAGGAGTGCCCTGGACAGGGCAGAGGCCATGGCCCCCCCACCACCACTGGCCGCCAGCACCCCACTCCTGCATGGCGAGTTTGGCTCCTACCCAGCCCGTGGCCCACGCTTCGCTCTCACTCTCACACCACAAGCCCTGCACATCCAGCGGCTGCGCCCAAAGCCTGAAGCCCGGCCCCGGGGTGGCCTGGTCCTGCTGACCGAGGTCTCAGGCTGCTGCACCCTGCGGAGCCGAAGCCCCTCGGACTCAGCAGCCTACTTCTGCATCTACACCTACCCCAGGGGCCGGCGTGGGGGCCGGCGCAGAGCCACACGCACCTTCCGGGCCGACGGGGCAGCCACCTATGAGGAGAACCGCACTGAGGCCCAGCGCTGGGCCACAGCCCTCATGTGTCTGCTGCGCGGACTGCCACTGCCTGGGGACGGGGGTGAGGCACTGGGCAGCCTCTCTGTCCTCAGGCTCCCTCGATGTCTCTGCGGATCTCCCTCTGTGGGCATCTCTGTCTCTGCTTTTCTGTGTGTCTGTCTGTGTGATGTGTCTCTGGGTTTGTACTGAAAGAGCGATACACAGACAGGGGTGAGCTACAGAAGGAACGAAATCCCAGGCAGAGAGCAATGATTTGTGTCTGCGGCTCTCTCACTGAATTTCCATCTCTGCCCCCTTCCCCCTTCCGTGGGTCCCGACCCCAGATGAGTCAGAGGCTCCCGGGCTGGTGAGAGCAGCAGACAGAGACGTGTTCAGTCACCACCCATGGTGACAGGCACTCATGGAGATCCCCTAGGGCATCTCGAGCCCAGAGATTGCGTCTAACCCAGCTGTGGGGGTCAGAGAAGGCTTCTGGGCAGAGCCCCATCCCCCCTCTCCACCCCCAGGGTACTCAGTTGGCCCAGAAAGGTAAAGGTTCAAGGGTCCCCATCTGTTGGCCTTTCTTGGTCCTCCAGGATCCTGCCTGCTGCCTAGGGGCCCTAAGGGCTGGTGACAGTGAGAGGGCCTTGCATAGTGGAGTAACCTGATCCCGGGTTCCAGGTGTTTGGGGTTGAGGAAAGTGGAAACCACAGCTCTCCTTCCATCTCCCACACATGGATCCAAAGGGCACTGGAATTAGACACCCAAGCCCTGCCTTTGTCCCAGCGCCTGGGAGGTGGGGCGGGGCTGTTTACCTGGCCTGAGCAGGTGAGGCTGGGGAGAAGAAAAATACTTTTAATTACCGCCAGGCTCCAATGCTGGCCCTCCACCAGTTCCACTGGAGGCTATTTGAAGTTACTGTTTCTGATGTGAGGGGCCTGGGTCCCTGACCTGTGTAGACTCCTTCCCCTCTCTCTGCAGAAATCACCCCTGAGCTTCTGCCAAAGCCGCCCCGATTGCTCCTATTGGTCAATCCCTTTGGGGGGCGGGGCCTGGCCTGGCAGTGGTGTAAGAACCATGTGCTGCCCATGATCTCTGAAGCTGGGCTGTCCTTCAACCTGATCCAGACAGGTAAGGGCAGGGTCAGGATGGAGGTGGGAGCTGGGGGCTAGGACTCTTGAGTCCTGGGGAGTGGTGATGGGTGGGGGTGGGACAGCGGGTCTCACTGCCTGGTTCCCCACATTAGAGCGACAGAACCACGCCCGGGAGCTGGTCCAGGGGCTGAACCTGAGCGAGTGGGATGGCATCGTCACAGTCTCAGGAGATGGGCTGCTGCACGAGGTAGGGCATGAGTGCCCCGCCCGAAGCCTGAGCCCTGGGGGACTGCGGAGGCCAGGACCAACGCCTGGTGTCTGGTCTCCTGCCCTTCAGGTGCTGAATGGACTCCTGGATCGCCCGGATTGGGAAGAAGCTGTGAAGACACCCGTGGGCATCCTCCCTTGCGGCTCTGGCAACGCACTGGCAGGAGCTGTGAACCAGCATGGGGGGTAGGTGGGAGGAGCCCTCCTGGGGTGATGGGCCTGGCACAGTTGCCCCACACCTTCCCGTCAGCCCAAAGAGTCCCACTGTCAGTCACGTTGATCAGTCTGACTGCAGCATGCTCCCCACACCCTTCCTGGATGTTTTTGCCTGTCATGTTCCCAGCTGTATCCCTAGTGCCTAGAACTGTGCCTGGCACATAGGAGGCACTCTGTGGATGCTTATGGAATGAAAAACCTGACAGGAATCCTGGCCCAGTAAGGAGTCCATGTGGAGGTGGCCAAATGGCTGTGGGCAGGCCCAGGACGTGGCCTGTCTGGTTTCCCCCAATGTCTGCTGCCTGTGTGTTTTTCCTTCCTGCCTTGTGCTGTTTCCTCTTTCCCAATGTGTCCCTCCATGTCTGATTGTGAAGGTTTGAGCCAGCCCTGGGCGTTGACCTGCTGCTCAACTGCTCCCTGTTGCTCTGCCGGGGTGGTGGCTGCCCACTGGACCTGCTCTCGGTGACGCTGGCCTCCGGCTCCCGCTGTTTCTCCTTCCTGTCTGTGGCCTGGGGCTTTGTGTCAGATGTGGACATCCAGAGCGAGCGCTTCAGGGCCCTGGGCAGTGCCCGCTTCACACTGGGCACGGTCCTGGGCCTCGCCACACTGCACACTTACCGTGGACGCCTCTCCTACCTCCCTGCCACTGTGGAACCTGCCTCGCCCACATCTGCCCATGGCCTGCCACGTGCCAAGTCAGAGCTGACCCTAGCCCCAGCCCCAGCCCCACCTGTGGCCCACTCACCCCTACATCGCTCAGTGTCTGACCTGCCCCTGCCTCTGCCCCAGCCTGCGCTGACCTCCCCTGGCTCACCTGAACCCCTGCCCATCCTGTCTCTCAATGGTGGGGGCCCAGAGCTGGCCAGGGACTGGGGTGGGGCTGGGGATGCTCCACTGTCCCCGGACCCACTGCTGCTCTCTCCCCCCCACTCCCCCAAGGCAGCTCTACTCTCACCCATCACTGAGGGGGCCCCGGAAGTACCAGCATCCTCTGGGTTCCCGCCTCCTACCACTGATGTCTCAATAGCTGCCTCTCCTGGGGGCCCACCTGACCACCTTCTCCCTCCTCTGGGCACTCCATTACCCCCAGGCTGGGTAACACTGGAGGGGGACTTTGTGCTTATATTAGCCATCTCACCTAGCCACCTGGGGGCTGACCTGCTGGCAGCCCCCCATGCGCGCTTTGACGACGGTCTTGTGCACCTGTTCTGGGTCCGCAGTGGCATCTCTCGGGCAGCTCTACTGCGCCTTTTTCTGGCCATGGAGCGTGGGAGCCACTTCAGCCTGGGCTGTCCCCAGCTGGGCTACGCCGCGGCTCGTGCCTTCCGCCTTGAGCCGCTCACGCCCCGCGGCGTGCTCACGGTGGACGGGGAGCAGGTGGAGTATGGGCCGTTGCAGGCGCAAGTGCATCCGGGCCTCGGTACACTGCTCACTGGTCCCGCAGGCTGCCCTAGGCGGGAGCCGTGAACCCAATCCTGTTTGGAGCCCGCGGGGGCGGGGCCTGAGCGAGGGGGCGTGGCGTGGCTGCTAGAGGTAGGGCAAAGGGCACATCGGTCCTGAACCGTTCTCAGGATTGCGCCCTCCCCTAGGGGACCAGAGGTGATGCTGGAGGGTGTCCTGAATTCCAAGGGGTGGAGGTCCTCATGGTCACGGAGGAATGGGCTCTCCCCAAGGGTAGTGCCTGATCAACTAGGGCGGGGCTCACTCCAGACCCTCACCTCCGGCCTGTAGGAGGCCAGGTCGGCTGAGGGCGGAGCCTTACACATCGTCCAGTGACGCGACCTGGAATGTACGGGCTGGGGAGGCCTTAGGTAATTGGCCAGTCAGGGCCCGGTTAGTACCCTGCCCACTCCGGTGCCTCCACTAAGCTGGCCAATCAGCCCAGGAGGGGCAGGTTCCCCGGGGCCGGCACTCCGATTTGCACTAATGTTCCTCTCCCCGCAGGTGGGGGCGGGGAAGTTCGTTTCTCCTGTCTTCTGTCTCCCGTGCGTCCCCTGGCCCCAATGTTCAAAGCAACTGAAAAGGTCTATGCAATAAAGGCAGTCGCTTCATTCCTCTCAGGCCCTTGCCCCTTCCTCCATCCGGCAGCCCGTGGGAGGGATCGGATTCTGGGCACTTCCAGCAGCTCCTGCCTTTTATGGACCCAAGCCCAGGCCTACCCATGGACCGGGGCCAGTGTGACCCGCTGGCCTTGAACTGGGGCCAGGGCGCTGCCTCCTCCCCCACGACAGCTGGCTCCGGGGTTCTCAAGATTTATTCAGGATCGTGTTAACGGAGGCGGTGGGAGGATGTGGTCCCCGACGTGCCCGGGGCACACACAGAGGACCCTCCCCGCCCCCGTGAGGGAGGGGGGAGGCTCGCTTTTTCTTAAAAATATAAATGTATTTATCTGCATCATCACGTCCCTGGGGAACCCAGCTGGCCGGCCCGTGGACCACAGGGCGGGGAGGGAAGACGGCGGCAGGGCGCAAGTCTGAGCGAGGTGGAGAGCTCCGCCTGGTGGGGGTGGGGGTGGGGGCGGCCTCACAGGGCTCCGTGTTGGGCCTGGTATCGCGACAGCACAGCGCGGTAGTGGGACAGCTCCTGGCGCACCGCCACCACCTCCTGCCGCAGCAGGGCGTTCTCCTTCTCCAGGAAGGCCGCCCGCACCGATATCTGGTTCTCCTTGAGCCTCCGGGCGTCGCGGGACCGCTTGGCTGCCTCGTTATTCTTGTACCTCCGGCTCCAATACTTCTCGTCCTAAGGGATGGGAAAGCACTGAGGTCCAGACGGGGCCCAGCCCCAGCGAGAGAAGCGAGGAACAGCTTTGCTGGTGCCTTTAAGGACAAGAGTCCATCTAAGAGAGCCCTGAGGCTGCTTCTCACCCAGCAGTGGGGCCCAAAGGATACCGGGTCTCCCCTGCGTGGGTACCCAAGGGTCTGCCCTTGAAGGGCCCTGGTTGCTAAGGAGAGCAGGCCCCTAGCAACAGGCATGAGATAGCATCCCACCCCAAGCAAGTCAGGTTCAAGTCTCTGCTGTGCAAAACAGACGAGCTCTCATTTGACAAAGGGCCTGCAGTTAGCCCCTGGTTTGCTAAAGATGCTTGTTCCCTAGCAACAAGGCCTTCAGGGTCTGAGGGTTTCTCCCAGTGAAAAGCACTGCCCTATACATCACCTTTCCAGATCCTGTTTGCTAACGAAAGCCTAGGCTCCCAAGTGATGGAGTTTGGTGTCCCATAAAAATTCTCTCAGAGCTGGGCCCTTTGACCTGGTTGCCAAGGCAACCTCATCCCTCCTCAGCAAACAAAAGTGAGGTCTAAGTGGTCCCAATGACCACAGCCAGTCTCTGACCCACTGGCTTTGAATAGAGGCCAGGGAGCTGCCTCTTCCCTAACAGTCCCTGGTTGCAAAGGGGTCTACCTGAGACCTCCCCGCACCAGCTTTGGAATTGGTGGCAGAGGAGGACCACTCCTCAGTAACAAAGGCCACCCAAAGCTCCAAAAGATGCCCCTCCATCCGCATTTCATTAAAGTCTAGTCCCTGCTTGCTAGGGTCAAACCAGTCCCGAGCAACAGGGTCCTGTGGCAGGAGAAACCGCCTGTCTAGATTTGGGGTATAGGGCAGTACTCACTGCTTCAAGTAGTTGTGTCTTACACAAGGGCATGGCAAACTCTTGTGTGAGAAGCCCAGGCACCTCTTGTTAGGGAAGACCTCAGAACTGGCAAAGACAGAATTCTAGAGACATGCAGTCACTGTCCAAAGCACCCCAAATCAGAATGTGGCCCTAGCGGCTAATGGACACCTGAGGCCTCTCACCAGTAAGTAGTCCAGGCCCAGGAAACAAGGCCCAGAGGGGCTGGCAAACTCTTCATCCTAGTCAGATGTAATCACGCTGAAGGATGTCCTAAATCAGAGATTAAAGGGCCAACCCCAGCCTGGTTGGCTGCTCAGAAGAAACCAGCTGATACCCCATTCCTAAGGGATGCTGTCCTTAGCATCTGGGCCTGGTAGAGCCTGAAGCCTGCTCCAGTGAGGGTTTTGGCGCCTCCTAAAAGAACCTCTAAGCCTATACAACTGGCCCAGCAGGGCTGGCTGAGTCTGAGTCCCACAGTGATACCATTTGCACAGTCTCAAACCCAAACCTCCGCCCCCTGTGCAGCCCGTGGCCAAGGTCCTTTGCTGTAGGTTAGGAGAACGTGAGAGCTAATCCGAGCTAAGCCCAGGCCTGACTCTGAGAAAAGGGCCATCCCTGCCTGTGGGGCTATGCCCTCAAAGCCTGTGTCCCACACCCAGTGATGCTCACCTTCTGCTCCTCTGGCACCTGGATCTTCCGTGCCTTCTTCATGATTGGCTGGGGCTTAAGCTCCTCCTCTGAAAAGCGATGTCTCCGAGGGTCAAAGGTCTCATGGCCGGGAATGCTGGACAAGGCTAAATCCGCTGGGTCAGGTTCAAAGGTCATCAGCACCTCCACGGTGTCTGGGTCCACAGGGCTGGGTGTGTCCCGAGAGGTCAGGCCTTGGGGAAACAGAGTGTGCCGCCTGAGTGTGTATTTATTGGGGAGAGGGTTCCCAGAGGCTACCCCCTGCTTAGGTATCATATCCACCACAAGGAAGGCCCTTACAGGGTCCAACATAAAGCCCACCAGGGATCAACCTCCCTAATATAAAATATGAAGGTTCTGTAAGCCACAAAGATACTTAGAAATCATGGAACCAACTCCATTTTTACACAGGGAAACTGAGGCCCAATCACACGTGATTTACCCTAAGTAACACAGGAACCTGGGCTATTGCTTCTAAAACCTCAGGACTTCAGAGTCACAGTGTTACATTCTTTTTTATAGTCTACCCTTCTTAACTGAATCATCAACCAAAGCTAAGACCCCAGGCTGTTCAGGAAAAAGGAATTTAATGCAACGAAAAGACCTCAAGTCAGCTTCATAAAAGGTACTAGCTGGGAAGAGTTAGTGACGTGAATAAATGGCTCTGAGGTTCCGGAAAGTTGGTTCCCGAGGAAGGGCGGCCTGTACCTTTAAGAGCGAGCAAGCCGGGGCCAACTGAGGACACAGGTTCAGGGCCGAGTCACGTGCCGGCGCCTGCTTTCCCGCCCCGCCCCCTGCCGCCACAGGCGCCCTCACGTTCCCCAGCCCCGCCCCCTCCCGCGTGACCGCGCGTGCGCGAAGCGCGAAGCATGGAGGAGGGAGGAGAGGGCTCACGTGGCGAGGGAATGTGCTGCTGGGAAAGGGAGGGCACTGATTCGGCCCGAAGGTCGGACCAGGAGCAGGTGGGTCCAGGAATCCCCCACCTACAGTCCGCACTTGGGGACCCCAAGGTGCCCGAGGGAGCACACCTTTCCTCTTGCTCTTTGGGGGTGGTCTCTCAGCTCGAACCTCTCAACCTCGGAGGATCCAGACCCCTCTGCTCTCGGGAGAACACTCGAAAAGCAGCCCCCGGATCTTCTCCTCAGGCCCCCAACGCCCTCGCCACTAGGATATATATGATTTGGGGGTCCCAGGCCCTTGGGTCCTTGCCCCAATAGAAGACCTAGAATGAAAATCCTTTCTGAAGGACTCCGGTACCCAGGTCCCCAGCCCCTCTCTACTGTGGAACGCAGGAACCAGGGCTGCCAGTCCCTTATGTCCTGGGGAAACAGAAGCCTGTGCCTGGCCCTCGCCTTCTCCCAGTAGAGAGCGAAGGAGCTCTGGTCCTACCCAAGTCCCACTGATTCTGGGCCCAGATTCTGGGGCATAGTCCACTCCCCAATTAATAACTCCGGTGTTCTGGAATCCCAGTCCCGGCTCTTCGAATATCCAGACCCTTTATCCTCAACGTCCCACATAAAAGTCCACACACTACTTCACCTAGTCTCTGATCCGTTAGGGGACACAGAATCCGGACTCCTCTCCCGACATATCCCGATTAGGAGATTCAGAATTGGGGTGAGCAGCCCCAGTACCACTATCCTGGCCCCCAGTGTCGCACAGACCCGCCCTCTGGAGTCCAAGCCCCGCCCAACAAGGGCCCTGCCCCGCCCCCGCCGTCGCACCTGCTCGGTGGCCGCCGGCGGCCCCGAGGGCAGCCCTGGCGGGGGCGTGCCCCGGCGAGGAGCGAGGGGAAGCCGAGCCGCAGGAGCCGGGCCCCGGGGAGGGTGCGGGCGTGCGCACGGGTGAGGGAGCTGGCGACGGGCCGCTGGGGGGCGGCGGGCTGGGAGGGAGCCCGTGCTCCAGCAGGAAGGCGTCCAGGTCCACGTACTCCACGTCGCCGAACGGCAGCGTCCGCTCCCACAGTAGCGGCGCCAACAGACCTGGGCCAGGCGCGGTCCCCGGGCGTCCCCGCGGGGACCCGCCGCCCACCACCGCCCCAGCTGAGGCATCCGCCGGGCCCGCCGTCTCCAGGCCCGGCCCCGGGACCGCGGCTGCCGGCGGAGCCGCCTTGCGCTCCTTTTCCTTCAGGAGACCTGCAGGCCAGGGAAAGACCGGAGAGAGTGGGGATAGAAGAGGAAGACAGAGATGAAGAAGCGATTCCGAGTGGAGAGAGACACGAGGAACAAGGGGATAGAGACCCACACAGCAGAGATCCGGAGAAATAGGGGACAGAAGGGAGGTGAGGGAGAGATCGGAGAGAGAGGGCAAGATCCAGAGAGAGGAGGGGACACAGGCTCAGAGAGGGAGAGAGACCCAGAGAGGAAAGACGGAGATGGGGGCGGCAGGCCGAGAGAGGCACAGAGGGATAGAGACTCAGAAAGAGGGGAGGGCAGGGATGCAAAGAGGGAGATGGGGACAGAGACCCAGGAAGGGATAGAGACACACAAGGGGGACAGAAGTTCATACAGATGTAGGTGGAGAGTTGGGCAGGTGAGAGAAAGAATGACAGCTCTGTAATTCCTCTGTAATCTATCCCCTTCCTTGCGCACTGTACCCCTTTCTCCCCGCCCCCACAATCTGTAAGGGGCAGGAAGGGGCTCTATTCCTGGGGCACATTCCTCATCCCTAGACTCCATGTGACCCCAGGAGGCCCCGCCCAAGCCCGTGTAACTACCGTGTGAGCATCCGACACACCCCCTCCCTTCTCCCTGGACCCCAGAGGTCCAGATTCTCGGAACCAAAAGGAAGAGGGTTCTAGGGCTTAGTCTTGGGTCCTTGGGGTGGACGGGTATGAGAGAGCCAGGACTTTGGGGTACTGAGTGATCTAGGGGCCCCAACAACTAAGTATTTGAGTAGATAAAGGTTGGGAGGATGGACTCTTGGCACATAAGAGGTAACTGCGGGACACCCCTCCCCCAGCAGTTGAGTCCCTAAGAGAGTAGTTTCTGAGCTGGGCGAGGTTGGGGCTAGAACTCACAGCTGGCTGGCTCTTTGGGCTTGCTGGTCCCCTGCAGAAGGCTCCGCAGCCCAAGTAGCGCTCCCCCGCCAGGGGGGGCCCCGGCCGGGCCGCCCAGCAGCAGTGGGGCCGGGGTCCTGTCGCTCACGGGCCGCGCCATTGCCGGGCACCTGCCGGCAGGCTCACGGGCTCATGGAGAGGCGAAGAGCTGGCCTGCCAGTCAGCGGCACACTCCTGTGGTTCGGGCGAGTGTCTGCCCAGGGGCGGGCGAGCGTAGCTTGCAAGCCTCCAGTATCCAGAACACTGCAAATCCTAGGAGCGACGTGTTTTTGCTGTCCTCGGTGCAGAAACGTGCAACTCAAGAGTGTCCCAGGAGACCATACAGTCTGGGTGAGGTGTGATTAAATCAGGCGACCGGCTCTTTGCAACCGAGGGTTCAAGAGGACACAAGGCGCTCCTTCTACAAGGTGGGCGAGCCTGGCTCTTGCAAAATCTGCAGCTCTCTCCACGGAAGGAGCTTTGCAATCTGTACCGAGAGGTGTGCGCGGAGGGGCGGGGGAGAGGGCAGGAGGAGGTGGCCGCCTTGAGGCGTGGCCAAAGCAAACTTCTTTCGCGGAAAAAAAGAAGCCAAACCAAAACACCCGACGCCACAGCGCTCACCCCTCCTCTCGGCCCCCGCCCGACTCTAGGGCCCTGCACTCCAGCCGCGTGCCTCCCTCTGGCTCAAAGCGCAGGCCAATCACGTCTCGACCCCTCGAGATGTACAGCCAATGGGACCCCTGGATCCTCCAAGGCCGAGGAGTGAGAGAGGGGCTCAGTGCGTGAAGTTACCTTGCCTTTTGGAGGGAGGCGGGACCCTGACCTACATTTACCCAATGGGAGACAGCACTGGGGGCGGGACTGTGACCCAGTTCGGACCAATGAGGCAGGCGAGAGGGGGAAGCACATGGCTCTGCGCGTGCTGCCTGACTTGGGGGGGTAAGAGGCTGGGGGATGGAGGGGTAGAACGCCGCTTAAAGGAGCCACATACCGAAATGACTGTTCTGGGAAACAGGAAGGAAAAAACCGAGTTGTGGGGTTTAGGAAGAGGGATATTGGTTTCTAGAAGAAGGCTGCTATTCTTTAACACCCAGATGTTTCCCCACGGCGCCTAGAATCAGACCACTGAGATAGAGGAAGTATTCTGTCCCTTTAATAGCTTTGTTTTGGAGGTGACTCCCCTCCCCTTGTGAGGAGGCTTGGGAAAGGCCGGCGCAATCCTCGATGACGAGTCTCAGCGACCATGGGGGGCACCATCCACTGTAAGATGACACCGGTGAGGGGGGCGTTAGTTTAGGGCAAGATAGAAAGGAGTGCAGGAGGCGTGCAGGGGGCGGGGATTGGGCCGCTCAAGGCTCTACCACAGGCTGCGAAGGGGGAACCAGAGTGTACCAGGTTGAGAAGTTGAGGGAAATGGTAAGATTCTGGCACGGGGCTAAACCATAGGAAGGCAGGAGGAGAGTGGAAAAGGGACTCGTTTAAGCTTTAGGCAGAACTATGTGAAGGTATTCATGGGGATATGTGGGCTGTACCATGTTGAGAAGACAAGAGAGGTGAACTTTAGATCACTGGGCTGAACCAAGAGGAGGCAGTAAGGAAGTGGGTTGTACCATGTTGATTCTCAGTAAGGGGGATGTCAGATTATGGAACAGCTACGGTTGTACCACATGGAAACAGGGAAAAGGATTCGCGGCGTACCATTTCGGAAAGCCATAGTAATAAGAACCACGGACCAGTAGTTGATCGTACCACAAGGAAGCCAGGGGGCTCGGGTTAAACACCAAGTTGCAAGTTGCAAGCAGTGAAGAGGAAAGACAAATCAAGGACCAGCAATGGTCTATGATGGGAAGGTGGGCTGTACCACGTTGACACAAAGAGGGAAGGCTGAGAGGGCGAGCGAGAGCTCAGGAGGCTGGATCACACGGAAGCAGCAAAGGGGAAGTAAGGACTGTATCATATTGAGACACCAAGGGGAGACACAGAGGCGGGTTAGACCAAGACATGGAAGGGGTTGCAGACTGGATCATACCATGCAAGCGGTAGTTGGGGCCTCGGCAACGCCTCTCGGGGTGCCGGGGGTCCCTGTTGCCCCTCAAGGCCCTGTGGGCCAAGGGCTGCAAGGGCCGGCCGTTACCGCTGAGGCTCTGGAAGATCTGGGACGGAGGATTCTGGCTCAGGAGTCTCAGGGAGTGCATCTGCCGTGGAAGTGGGGTGGGAAACTCCGAGTGAATAATGAATGGCCCTGGTGACGTCACAAGGAAACCCCGCCCCTGGGAGCGAGTGGGCGGGGTCTTGCTTAGTCCCACCCGACCCCCAAGGGTTGTCAGACCCTCGAATCGCCGCCTCTAATTCCCTGTCAATGCGGGGTGAGGGGCGGTTGGAGGGTAGGTGAGGCAAAGCGACACCTAAGCCAGGGAATGGATTGGGGTGGCAGGGATGGGGGGAATGGGCCTACGGGTTCACCTGGAGGGAGGTGATATTGAGGGCCCTGTCAATGAGGATCCAGGTAACAGTCTCCGAGCAGGGTGGGGTGCTGAGAGAGCCCTGATAGGTGATGAAGCCAAAGGATTCGGGGAATAGGAGCTCCAGGCTGAGGTCTTGAAGAAAGTAGGCATCATCTGCGGGAATAGCAGGCCAGAGTGAAGAGGGGTGCCCCTGCTGAACTCCCCTTCTGTGCACATCCCACCCCTACGCCCCAATGCCCAGGGACTTACTCTTGTAGGAGATGCGGGTGATGGTGTCACGGTTAAGGAGGCGGCTGAGGAATGGGTTTGAGCTACCAGCCACCTGTGTGGAGGTCTGAGGTGAGGAGACAGGAACCCAGAAGTCCAAGCCCCCAATCCCTTTCTCCTCCAGGACCCAGGAGTCTGGGCCACCCTCTCAGAGGCCCTCTTCTCAGACCCCAGGTTCCAGCCCCTCTCTCCCTCCAAATGTTGCCTGGGCTCACATTGACAAAGAGGCTGAGAATGGCCAAGCCATTGGGGCCCCGGGAGGCGGCGCTGAGGTTCCCGTAGAGTTCTTGGTTGAAGTGGATGAGCTGCACCTGGGAAGGGAGCAAAGCGAGTGGGGTCCTCCAGCAGAATGGAGGAGAGAGAATGGGTACAGCTCTGAGTTGTTGAGGTTAAGGATTAGTGCTGGGGGGCAGCTCTGTGGAAGGAGGATGGGGTGAAGAGGGGAGGTGGGAGGAATTGGGTCGACTCAGGGTGAAAGTCGAGGGTTAGAGGTTAGTGGCCGCCACCTCAGCAGAGAAACCCTGATGGTTGATCTGGTGTTCAGAGCCAGCTCCATCCCGTGCTCCAAACAGCAGCCGCAGTTCGCTGAGTCGGTGGCTATAAAGGAGGGGCCCCCCAGACACGTTGACCACGGGCCGGGGTGCGGGCAGGAAGGAGACATGGCGACCGGTGTTGTACAGGGTTCCCCGGAGCTGTGGGAGAGGTGGAAGCCTTTATGGGGACACACAGAGAAAATCTTTTCCCTACTGTTTTCCACTCCTACATTTCCCGCTGCCAACGACCATTTAGTTTGAACACTAAAGTCTTGCCAGGCTCTGTGCTGATCCATGGTAGATGCCTAATACTGGTGAATATATTTAATTAACAACTAGTTATTGAGCTGCTACTTTATGACACAGATTCCAGGAAGAGAGCAATGAGCAAGTACACAAAAATTCTGGGCCTCCTGGAGCTTCTGTTTGAATGGAGGAGAGACAGACAATAAATACTGAATCACAGAAGTAAGTGCTTAATTAATTACATCCTGTGCTCATGCTGGGAAGAACTGGGAGTTCTGAGAAAGCAGAATGGGAAACCCAGTCTAGATTGGGGTGGGGGTGGGGTGTCAGGAAAGGCTTCCATGAGGAATTGACATTTGAATGGAGCCAGGAAGGATAAGGCGGGGTTAGCTGCAGGGAGCAGGGAGAAGAGCATTCCACAAGATGGAACAGCAAATGCAAAGGCTCTGAGGTGGCTTGTTTTAGAAGCCAATGGACCAGAGCTCAGTGAGCCATGGAGAGAGTGGTGATGGGAGCCAGATGGTGCAGAGCCTTGTGGGCAGTGATGGAGTATTTTGTGTTTTTATTTAAATAATTGAATATATATAACACACTTGGCACAATGCCGGGCACATGGTAAGTACTATATAACTGTCTGCTGATATTACTTATCCTAATAGGATTTTTGAGCAGGAGAGTGGTATGGTCTGGTTTGCATTTCAAAACATCTCTCTAGCTGGAGATGGAGAATGGATTGCAAGAGGCAGAGAAGCAGGCCATCAAGGATGCTATGGCACTGGTCCAGGAGCAAGATGGTGACAGCAGTGGAGGGACAAGAAGTGAAGGATATTTAGCAGGGAGACCAGAAAAGACATGATGGGAAGTGGCAGTGAGGGAGAAAATGGGATAGGAAATAACTCTGAGGCTTTTGACTGGGGTGGCTGAGTGAAGGATACTGCCAACTCTTAGAAGAAACGGTATTGCAAAGTGGGCAAGAGCATGGATTCTGGGACCATACTGCCTGGATTTGAATCTCAGCCCTAGCACTCTCTAGCTGTGTGACCTCAGGCCAGTAACTTAACCTCTCTGTGCCTCAGTTTCTGCATCCATAAAATAAGGGTAATAATAGCACCTATTTCATGGGGTTGTTGTGAGGATTCAAGGATTTATCAAGTTTTAAAACAGTGCCTGGCACAGGAAAAGGTCTATTTTACCATTGTTTCTAAGAGATGGGAAAACTAGGGAGGATAGACGAATAGGTAAGCCATTTTAGACTACAAGGCACCTCATCTCCACCTAGTGTGTAGGCAGGCCTCTTTCCCCAAGACTAGCCTCACAACTTAATGCCTCACCCCCCCACCCCTACTCATGCCTAGTCCCCATGGATTCTGTAGCCCCTCCCACCAAGCTCCTTACCTTCTCTCCTCCAGTGCTGAGTCTCAGCGGGGGCAGAAAGGGGTCATAAAGGACCCTCTTCAGCTCCACATCCACGGGGCTCTGCCGCTTTCCTACGGCACACAAACTCCAGGCTGCATTCACCAGGCCCCAGAAGGGAGGCCCTGAGAACAGGGGTGTGGCAGGCAGGAAAGGGAGTCAGAAATATGGACCAGATGCCAATGCTGGCATCTGATGGGAAGGCTGTGGTCTGGACTCCTGGATCCCAGGAGATGGAGAGCTGGAAATATGGACTCCTGGCTCTGAGGGAGGGGACTCGAATCCAGAATCTCGGGTCCTAGAAGAATCTTGGAGGAGTTTCCTAAGACCCCACCCCCACCACTCTCCAGCATCTCCAAGCCTCTCTTTGATCAAACCTATATTAAATCGTCATTGGGGAAGGAACTACAACTCCCAGCAGGCCCAGCGGCTGCCAGCCTACCAGTCTTCTGCCGGCCTTGCCAGAGGCCATGGGAGTTGTAGTTCTCTCAGTCTCCCTTGTCCCACAGCTGGATAATGAAGGTACTGGGGAGGAGTTGCAAGAGAGGCCTGGATCAGGCGGGGAACGGGACCGCTGAACCCCTTGGTCTCAGCTGGAACCAGGATCTACCTGCCTCTTTCCCTGCAAACACGCACGCACTCTTCCACCCCCATACTCCCTTGCCTTCCACTCACTCCCACTCACTACTTGAAATGCACATGTATAATGTCCCACTCCGTTCAGAGGCTGGGTCTCCGGAGGCAGGGAGGAAGGGGCTGGGACTCCTGGGTCCTGGGGCAGGGGTGGGAGGAGAGGGCTCCCGAGTCTCAGGAAGAAGGCGCCTGCAGCCCAGACTCTTGGGTCCCCGCCCTGGCTGCACCTGGCACGAAGTTTCCCTGGAGATTATCCTTGTAGCTCCACCAGTCCTCAGGGTCAGGTGCGGGTCCGATGTGAGCTGGGGAGAGAGCAGCCTGAACCCCTCTCCTTGGCATCCCCACCCCCACCGCTCCCTCAGGGGCCCCTGCCCCGACCCCCAGGCCTTACCTGCCGCCCCCAGTGCGGCCCAGAGAACCAGCGCTCCAGGGGCGCTCAGGCGAGCTGCACCCCGCATCCCCAGGAGACCTCTGGGCGACCCCTTCCCAATGCTCTGGACCCCCTCTCTCAGCTCTGTCCCCTCTTTCTGGAATCCTGTCCTTCTAGGACCCCCAGCCTTCCTCTCCTCCCCACAGGGAGTCCCAGTTCCCTAGCTACTAAAGCAGCCGGGGTGGAGAAACCCCCACCCCACCTGCCCCCCCTTTTCCTCCTCTCTGAGCCTCTCCTGCCTCTTTCCCGAACCCTCCAGCCTCCCTCTCCCTCCCGACCTTCCTTCTCCTCTCTCTGCCTTCTGCTTCTCCCTCCAGCTACCTCTTGGTTTCTAATCCACACCCTCTTCTTGGCTCTCTTTTCCTCAAGCTCCCCCAGCCCCCTAACTCCGTACCCCACCCCACTGCTCTCACCTGCTTCTCCTCCTCCCTCTCCCCCTTCTCTGCTCCTGCCTCTTCCTTCTCCCTTCTCTCCCCCTTGTCCTCCCCACTCTCTCCCTCTCGGTCTCCAGCTCCTCTGTCTCCCCCACCTCCTCCTCTCCAGCCTCTTCTCTCTGTTTCTCTGTGCCTCTCTTCTGTTTCCTCCCTTCCTCCCTCCTCCCTCTCCCTCTCTTCTCTCTCTGGGTGTTATTTAATTTTCTGTCGTTGTTTGGGGTGTGGGGGGGTCCTCACAGCAGTGAACCCTCCTCCTCGGGTTGGCGTGTGTAGGGGTTGGTGTGTAAGGGGCAGGATGGAGGGGTCGTTGAAGGGCTAGTCCCCACTCCCATCCGCGCTGGGGCCATGGGGGCGGGGGTGGCCCCGGACACCTGGGGCCCAAGAGCTGGCAGTTTCCATCCTCCGCAGAAGGCGGAAGGGGGGGCGCTTAAGGTGGAGCTGGGAGAGTCCTCGTTGTCTCCGTGCTCAGGGCCGTTGGCCCCGGAGGATCGGGGGTCTCCCAGCTCGCGGGGGCCCGGGTCAGAGGCTGCGCCAGCGCCTGCAGCCCCCGCCCGAAGCATCACTCGGGCCTCGGCCAGGGGCTCCCTTAACCCGGCTGACGGATCCCCTGGGAGACTGGAGTGCGGTGTGGGCCGCTGACCAGGAGGGGGAGGCAGAGACCTGGAAAGGGAGAGGGAGGTGGGAGGAGCAGCTGGGAAGGCAGAGGCAAGAGAGCAGAGGTGAGGTCAGAGAACTGCGGAGGCTTGGAGAGGGTAAAGGAGCTGAGCTAGGTATGGAGAGAGGAGGGAGGGAGAGCCAGGGAAGAGATGAGGGGGCGGGGGCGGCGGCGGTGGGGGCAGGAGGAAGAGAGACTGACTCACATACCTTGAATGAAAGAGATGCAGAAACTGATGTACACAGAGAAGAGACACATAGAGACCCCCAGAATGAGAGGGTAAAATACAGAACGAGACAGATACAGAGGGAGGCAGAGAAAGAGAGACAGAGACACGCAGAGAGACAGAGACACAAACTTAGAGATAGAAGCAGAGAGACCCAGAGACAGAGAGAGACCCACAGAGCACTTAAGAGATGGAACAGCAAGATGCCAGGCAGGAGGTATGAGAGGAGAGACAGAAACAGAAAATAAGATCTAAAGACAGAGATGCATAGAAACACACACCTCGTGCACGGGGCACAGAGAGGAGGAGACAGAGAAGGAGGCAGACACACATGCACATCTACATATAGAGAGACTCATGCAGAGGAAGAGGTACCAGCAGACACCAACAGACAGACAGAAACAGAGACCCAGATACAGAAACACTGACATAAGGGGAGATACTAAAGAGGAATCAGGAAGACAGAGGCATTCAGAGGTAGAGAATTGGAAATGGACACTCAAGGACACATGATGTAGGGAGACAGACACCCAGAGAGAGGCAGAAATAGAGAGACACAGAGAACACACAAGAAAGAAAAGTTTGTATTCATTTTCCATTGTCACGTAACAAATTACCCTAAAACTTAGTGGCTTAAAGCAACACTGAATGTCTCAGTTCCTGAGGGGTAGCAATTAAGGAGCAGTTTAGTTGGGTGACTCTGGCTCAGGTAACAACAGAGAAGTCAGGGTCTCTCATGAGGGTGCAGTAAGCTATTGGCCAGGGCTGCAGTCATCTGAAGGCTTGACTGGGGCTGGAAGATTTCTTCCAAGCTCCCCTACACGGTGCTTGGCAAGAGGCCTCAGCTCCTCACTACAGGGCAGCTTGACTGTCCTCACCACATGGCCACTGGCTTCTCCCTCAGATTGAGTGACTTGGGAGAGAGAGAGAGAAGGTGTCTTATATGACCTAATCCCGAAAGTCACACAAAATCACTTCTGCTTGATTCTGTTCATCAGAGGTGAGTCACTAGGTCTGCCCACACTGAAAGGGGAAGTGATTAGGCCTCTGCTCTTGAGCAGAAGTATCTCAAAGACTGTGGACTTATTTTAGATACCATCACAGGTGGGGGGAGGAAGAGAGAGAGCAATGGAGAGAGATAGACTCTTCAAAGTCCCAGGACGCTCTGATGTCAGTGACACACTTCTTCAGAAATGCAGGTATGTGTCGAGAGACACAAAGACAGTGGGAGCTGTAGAGACCAGGAAGAGACAAGCCAGAGGAAACAAATGCATACACAGGTTAATTCATTTAATCCTCATAATATGCCATGTGGGTTATTTCCTATTATCATCATCATCATCATCCCCATTTTACACATAAGAAAACTGAGGGACAGGGAGGGGTGTGAGCCAGTGATCTGGCTCCAGAGTCCATGCACTTCATGAAAATGGTCTCCAGAGCAGTGCTGTCCAATAGAAGTTTCTGTGATGGTGGAAATGTTCCTTAGCTGCTCTGTCCGATATGCTAGCCACCAGCTACCAGTGTGGCAGTGGTTACTGGCTGGATAGCTCAGCTCTGGAGAACTAATGAATGCTGGCTACTTGCTGTGTGACAGTTGCTAAGTCTCGACACTTCTCTTATTCAGTTTCTTTATCAGAGAGGTGGTCAAGGATTCTAGCCAAACCCAAACACATATGGGTTTGAATCCCTGCCTCCATCTCAAGGTGATGTCCCCCAGGAAGCCTCAATTTCTTCATCTGTATAATGAGTACAATAATAAGACCTACTTATTTATTCATCAAATATTTATTGACTACTTACTATGTCCTGAAGGCTCAGGTTACAGCATCAAACAAAACAGCCACAACACCAAGTTCAGGGCAGCAGGAGGTGGGATGAAGGGTCAGACCAGACATCATCTACTTTTAAAGTCATCCTCTCTTTTCCTGGAAATTCCAAAAGGCTGCTCAACCTAGCATCTCATGATGTCACAGTATACTTCGGGTTCTGATTGGCTGAGGGCATGGCAGTATTGATTAATGCCCTCAATATCATTTCTATTCTATTTCTTTGATATCAAAACATCCTATTTTGCTGGGTCTAAGACAACTCAGCATTTAAGGCTATATTTCTGCTCTCTCTTGCAGCTAAGTGTGGTCATGTGACTAAATTCCTGCCAGTAAGATGATAACAGAGGTGTTGTATAGCAGCTTTTAGAAAACACCCTTATACATGAGCTGTGTGGGGTATTTTGTTCTTTGTATCTGCAGAGGTTTGAATGAGGTTGATTTGCAGGAGGTGAGGTCAGCTATGTGGTGGGAGTAGATCATATAGGGCTTTGTAGGGCAGGGCTAGGATTTGAATTTTATTCTGAGTAAAATGGGAAGCCACTCAAGTGTTGTATACCATAGTAGCAGCATGATCTGACTTAGGTTTTCTTTGAGGGGGAGGAGGTAATTAGATTTATTTATTTATTTTTAGAAGAGATACTGCAGATTGAACCCAGGACCTTGCGCGTGCTAAGCATGAATTCTACCACTTGAGCAATATCCTACCCCCTCACTTAGGTTTTGTAGTCATTATCCTAGGTTCTGTTGGAGAAGACTCTAAGAAGGTAGTGAGGAGGCCAGTGTAGAGACAGTGTAAACTGGGTGAAGAGTGGTGGTGGCTTGAACCAATATAGCAGCAGTGGAAATGGTCAACATAGTTGAATTTTGAACATGATAATATGTGTAACTAAAGAAACTGTAGGTAGAGTTGGAGGTGGGACAGGCCTGTAGTGGCAGTTCTCAGGCCCCACCAGGCATCTTCAGTTAACAGGAGGGAGACAAACCTACATCTCTAATAGGAAGGTGCCTTTGGTTACTATCTAGCAGAAGAAAACTTCCCTCCGCCCCTTGGCCCATGGTAGCTCAGCCAATCAGAGACTTTAGCAGCCCAACCAATGAGAAGCCTCCATACTTTGGACTCCCAGCTTCCTCCAATGGCCTCTTTGGTTATTACAGGCCCCCTCAAATCTCCTCTTTTCCCTCCAAAAGCAAGTTCCCCTGCCTTGTTCTCCGTATTTGCGTGTGGTCACCTATCTTTGAGTATCCTCAATTGTAATTCTTCTGCTGTTCCCTAATAAACTCACCTTTGCTGGTAAAATAACTGGCTGTTATATTATTAAAGTTGGCAAGGAAATATGAGGGTGAAGTATAGGGGTTAATGTCTGATTGAATTGTTTTCAAGATATCATGGAATAAGCCAGAAAGAGAAAGAAAAATACCATATGATATCGCTTATATGTGGAATTAAAAAAAAAAAGACACAAATAAACCACTTATTAGTTATAACTTAGATGAATGATTTCTTGAATATGTATAAGCACATTTGACTGTCTGTTATGATTGGATTATTGCATTCTGTTGATTCTTATTTTGTGTTTGGCTTTATTCCTTTGATAACTATGTAAATTTAAAAAACTAAAGGTCTAAACTGTTCTTAGCAACAATGAACAGTAAATATATGTATATTTTAAAATGGGCAGCATATTGTGTATTTGCATGCTACATACTGTATATGTGCAGTCAAATTATGTCAATTTTACCTAATAAAACTGAAAAAAAAGACCAAAAAAAGAAAAGACAGATAAAGCCAGATAATTCAACAAAATTCTTCTTAGAAAATCTCTTAAAGACTCCTAACTCCTGCTTCAGAGATGCCCCCACGCAGGGCACTCAGTTGGAGGCCAAAGGCAAGCTTCCTCATACATAGGATAGTGTTGGTAGGCTGGGGGATCAAATAGTCACTTCCTAAAGGCTATTCCCTTCTCCTCAGGAGCACACCCAGAACATTGGCAGGAGGACCTATTCTCTGCCTAGTATCCTGTGACATCATGGCCCATCCTAACTCCCCATTGGCTAAGAGGCCTGCCTGTTCTCTTGGGGGAAGAACACGTTGCTCTCTAGGCCCCAGTAAACCTTAAATCATATCCTTTCATCTGAGATTCCGTCAAACTGCTTGTTCAGGGACTCTCCTACAAATATGAAATTTTGTGGTTAATTGTGGGGGCAGAGGTCAAGGTGACAAGGAAGATCATAGGCCATGGTGGCCTTCCATTCCATCGTACTTATTGCTTCCTGCCTTTTAAACCCCACCCCTCTGGCCTGTTGGGTGGAATAGATTTCTGTTTAGCACAAAGTCACGTTATAACACTGTGGCTCCCAATTGGCTATTCACTCAGGAAAGTGTTTAGTCTGTGATTCAGGACCCATCACAATCCTCCAGATTTCACTCAGAGTTCCATTATTCTTTTCTCAGAGACCATGCTGGGGCCCAATGAGAACCCAAGTTTCCCTGCCGAACTTTCCTCACGTGTATTTCCCGCCTTTTCTAGTCACCCTCCCCTCTCACTGGCTTTGGCCAATCATCAGGCAGTACAAATCTGACTAGCACCCAGTGAAGTCATACCAGCTCTTTCATTGGATTGGCTGTTTGGTCAGAGCTCTAGCCATGCCTAGGCTCCTTAGATTTCCTCAAAGCCTTCATTTTCCCCCCAGAGACCGTCTCAGCACAGATCAGGAGATTCCCCAAGAGTTGAGACTTTATTGAGGGGAACAGCTGCGTAGATCACAGGTCAAGGGTTCTAGCCAGAGACTGAGAGTCCGGCTTGCAGTTCGCTGCCTTCAGTTCAGCATCCCACCTGCCTGCTCTGGGCCGGCGCGTGCCATTGACGTCAGGAGCTCCGCAGTATCTGATTGGCTCGCTGAGGGACGCGCCGTGGAGGTAAAGGCTGAGCTCCGGGTTGCTTCCAGTTCCTTACTTGGCACTCGAGGACCGAAGGCCCAGGTTCTAAAGCCTGGG